TGTGGTCGTAGCTAGGAGTCTTCCTCACTAAAATAAATGCTAACACGGCTCATGAGATTTCACAATTTTGCATGAGGTCGTGCAAATCATTTACAAAGTTTGTCCATGAACAGCTGTTTGGGTATTTTCTGGGTCCTGTCACTTTCTGTGTGACCCATTTGTGGGTGTGGATTGTGTATGAAGCTACATTCAGCCTCAGCTCAATCAGCCTCTCAGCTCCACCCTGCTGATCCTCAGAAGCAGCAAGGACGTGGCAGATAATGTTATCGCACTCCTAATGATCCACTTCCCCTTCTTGCAATGACTGTGGCTACTGCAATTTATGGCAAGCTGAGCCCCAGCTGGCTGCTTATTGTCTCCTGCAGTAAAATGGTACAATGGGGGCTGCTGGCCAGATGACAGCTCAACCCATGGGTGCACGTGCATGTTACTGAGTTACAGAGCTGCAGGGGAGGAGCAGAGCCTACAAAACTTCACTGACATCAGTTTGCGAGGTATAGGGAGGAAAAGGATCGAGCACAAAGCTGAGCAATGCAGCTGTTTGGAAATGTTAGTTATTCATTTGCCTGGTATCTACGCAGCAAGTGTTTATATGAAGGCTGTATGATTTGACTTACTGCATAACTAATGACTCAATATTGTGGGCTTTATTTCTATACACAAGATTTATTTCAGCATTTTAGAATCTGTTCTGATTGTTGAATAAATGGTAACTCAAATCCATAATGTTATTAATAAAGTTTTTCACATGATACTGATACTATAGACCAGTAGTTCCCAACCTATTTTCCTCAAAGCCCAGTTTATTTTTTTACCCCCCACCCCATCCCCAATACACTTGCTACGCCTCATGTTACAAGAAACATAAGGATACTTATTATTGCCCACTGAGATGTCAGTTAACCTGTGTACAAGATAAAATTGCTCTTAGTCTTTTACAATATTCATAAAAAACACACATTTTTAAACATACATTTGACCTCCATAGTAACTTATATTAAAGGGATCCATGATTAGTTGTAACATTAGACTTTATTTGATAAACATTTATTTTAACTATAAAATAAAGACTGTAAAAATACTGTAGGCTGTTTAGTTTTTTAAAAATTTTAAAAGTATATTTTAACACGTATGGATCCATTTTATTTGCATGCAAAGCATTCTGGGTAAATGATGATGTGGATAGGTCTTCGGTGCGAGGCTGCTAGCGAGCTATATCCACCCTGAAGGTTAATCTTGGACAATATCTGATGATCGACTCTTTTAAATGAAACCAGAGAGCGTTGACAGAGAGGAGAAGGTAGAAATGACTCAGTCTGGAACTGAAAATATGGATGGAGGACAACAGAGCTGCTTCATGGAAGAACCACCTCAGCTTAGCCTGTTAGCTTTAGCATTTGCGCTGACACTATATTGCCTTATATGTATTAGCTTGGTGCTAGCACAATAAACAAACACGCTAAACTGAGGTCCTCCATCTACATTTTCAATTACAGACTGAGTCATTTTTGTGTTCCCCTCTCTGTCGTGTGGATGGAGGACCTCAGTGACGAGAGGAGAATGTGTAGCGCTGAGCTAATACATATATATATATGGTGATAGCGTCGGGGCTAATGCTAAAGCTAACAGGCTAAGCTGAAGTTCTTCTTCCATGAAGCAGCTCTGTTGTCCTCCATCCATTTAGCATATATGCCACAGACTTCCGCTTCTAGCACTTCTGCATTCTTTGGTCCCGCACCTGTGTTCCGGTTCGCAGGCTGTGTTAGCAAAAGATTTTTTCACCCGACGATGACTCTTAATGTTCTCCACAGTACAGAATTAGCATATTTCATGTACCAACATTAACACAGGCCCAGCCAAGTGGAAAAAAAAACACTCCAAAGTGGATTAAAGCCATAAAAACAAAGGAAAGACGTTCGTGTTTATAGTTCTCGGGTTTTGTATACTCTGTAATATGCACTCTAACAAGTTTTTACTTTTGCATAAAACTTGTGAAAAAGTTGCCTGAAATAATTTCATACTCTGTATAACACAAACGCATGCGGACACGCACACCTACCTTTGTACTGGCTGCTGTGTTAGCTTCCTCCTAGCTATCCTCTGGAGGAGGTCTTGGCAGTAAAATGGGATAAATGTACATTTCCCTTTTACCTCCATCTTCTCATTTCTGATGCTGGCTCTTGAATGTCCTCAGGTTAGAAATGTCGATTACAAACGCGAGCATGAGCTTTTATGGCTAAGTTTTTCCTGTATTGCTATGATCCATTGCTGTCGCCTTTCCTCCTCATCAACTTGAGGAAAATGGAGAAAAACTAACTACTCGATCGTACCTGCTGGTTAGTGGCCACAATGGCACACAACAGAACTCACGTTTTATACCAGTAGCTCACAGATACTTTAACTTTTGTGACTTTTTCACGGACTTGTACTAGGAGCTTACGCTAAAAACAAATGCAGTTAGCAGGAAGTGGAAGAGAGGTGCGCGGCTGAAATTTTAACAGAAATACGTCATCAATGGCCGTGGCAAATAGGCTATTTTCAGTTACAGGCTGAGGGTGGATATAGCTCGCTAGCAGCCTCGCACTGATGACCTATCCACATCATCGTTTACCCAGAATGCTTTGCATGTAAATAAAATGTCTCAGTCCATGTAATATATTTTTAAACGTAGTTTAAAAATTATAAAAACTAAATAACCTACAGTATTTTTACAGTCTTATTTTACAGTTAAAATATATGTTTATCAAATAAAGTCTAATGCTACAACTAATCATGGATCCCTTTGACAAATCACAACTAAATCAGCAAATAATACAATTCAAACCTCATTTATTTCACTCCTTTAAAATACAAGAATTGATAACAGAAGTTGTATCGTAATCCATATTGTTGTGTTAGAAACATGCATTAGCATTTTGCTAATTAGCTGCTAATCTACTGTCTAAACCTCATAGAAAACTGCTGGCATAATTCTAATCTCTTCAGTACACTCATGCAGGAAAAACACATTTTCTCAATAGTTTAGAACACAAAAAATCAACTACACAGTTACACAAATGCTTAACAACTAAACATGTTGGGCAATTTAACTGTAAACATAGAAGTTTTCTTAATTTTTATTTATTTATTTTTTTACTTGTTTGCTTGTTTTAAAGTCACTTCCGGTTTTTTACACAAATACCTTCATAATAAAAGCATCCTATAGAGCCCCCTAGTGGAATGGAGTGAGTCAATCCAACACCCCATGTCTACCAGTGATGCATTAAACCTTTATCCCTTGAACAAAATAAAATAATAAAGTGGATAGTTTCAAGCTTTTATTTGGAAAAGGGGAGTGGTGGGGCAGAGGTTAGAGAAGGTTGGCCTGTGTTTGGAAGGTCACTCCTTCAGTAGTTAAGATAAAGTGTATATAGATATTTTGCTAACAAACTGACAAACAAACACACAAGCAGGTTTGCTTGTCAGCATTGCTTATAGCAGTTTTATTATCAGCAGGTAACAATAAAAACAGTAGTTTGGTATTTCTGCTGTCTAAAATGTTTAATTACCTCAACATTCATCAATAATAAAGTATTTGGTGAGTTGCCCATTGGTCATTGGTCATCTTATTGAGCTAAACATGTTTACATGTTGTTTCTGTATGTAATGTATTTATTTTAACTTAATTTTTATAGTCTTTTAAATATGACCCATACATGACAGCTGGTCCAACAGATGTTTCCGGCCTTTAAGTGCTGCTGACAGTTTTTTTATTAAATATTTCTCTGACACAGTCAGTCAAGAGCCGGTTCATGGCAGAAGTCTTGGTTTCAGGCCACTTCCCATGCTGGATTACCTGGGACAGACACTCTCATTGCCTGGGTCTTTGTTCTCTTACTGTAGTCTGGGTCCAGAAATCCACTGAATGTACCTTTGCAAGTCTCTCACTGGTATCCAAAGTCTCCAACGTAGGCTGGACAGTGGTTGTTGACAGGCCACATGTATGGAGTTAGTTGAGCCATGGTGATGGACTTTACAGATGCTTTATGTTTAAAATAGATGTTTGGTCAGGAAGCTATTTTTCTCTGTAAACGTCAACTGTAAACTCTAGGAAAGATTACATGTTAATGAACTTGAAGTGTTTCTGCTGCAGAACTGGAATGTTTTCTGATAGGATGAATAGATATTTGTTCAGTAAAAAGATTATTAGGCTACTGGCTTATAGATTGACCAAAGAACAATAATGTTTTTACCTGTGTGTGCATGTGCTTATTTGTCTGATGTGTTAACAATATTTTTTAAGAACTCTTGGCTGGATTTTTTATGAAACTCATTTTTATACTCATCTGTGTTTTCTGTGGGTTTTAGGTGTCAGCTTCTCTGAACTCTGAGGTCAATAATGATTATTATGACAATGTGAGCACCATCCAGTTGGTGGACCTGACTGCGCTGCGTAACTAGTTGTATGTCCCAAACATAGGGATCGTGTAACAGCCTTTTCACACAGCTTTTATTGAGGCCTCCATGTGTTTTGTTTGTGAAGGTCGTTGTAAGGACAGCTTGAGGGGACGTGTCTGGACACGTTCTGAGAGCATAGAGTCATACAGTGTCAGTTTCTATATCTGGAAAAACTCAAAAAGGGTTTAGATCTTTGATTCTAATATCTCTTTACCAACTTGCAAACTCACAATTTATTATACTGTTCCACAGACCTACATTTTGTTTTTTTGTTCAGGTTATTTCACTTTTTCCAGTTGCAGTGGAAACTGACATTTGGTAATTATTTTGGCTCAGCAGAAATCATCTAAAGCTTTTACTGTACTGTTAAGTTACTGGACAAACTGAATTGCAAAGTATTCACCCCTTGGCATTGTTGCAAATAATAATTTTACAAATACGTTATAAAACATTATAAAAAGTTAAATTAGGAAAAATGTGTATGAAAAATAAAACAAATATGTAAAACTAGCGTGTATATGTGTTCACCCTCTTTGCTTTCATGATTGTTTTTGCTCTCATAGGTTCTCCTTCAGTGTTCAGCTGTCCAGCAGCATCTTTCGTGCTGTAACCATTTTGGACGCCATAAGAGAACCCCCACTTTTCAGTAGAAGACCATCACTTCTACAACCCAGAACAGCATTACCAAGCACACCTACACAGCAACCAGCTCCATTCAGGTATCATTATTAATCTGCAGCTTAACTTTTTTTAATTTTGTACCAAAAGAAAATGTGAGAAAATGTGCCTTTGGTTGATTATTTATTTGTTTCCATGCTTTTTGGTCACACACTGCTTTTATAGCTCAGATTTGGGTTACATTACTCAAGGCTAGACATATTTTTATAGAATTATTACCAGTTTGCTAAGGTTTATAGAGGGTGGTGGTGGCGCAAAGGTTAAAGGTGAGTCTGTGATCAGTAGGTTGCACATTCAAATCCTTTCTCTGTTACAAAAAATCTGTCTGGGAAACGTGAAGCATCCACATCTGCCTCCATTCTCATTTGGTATTTGGTATATGGATGGATGTGGTAGCTTGATGGTCAGTGGTTGTGTCAGGAAGGGCATCCAGTGCAAAAACAATTGCCAAATCTTCATGTTCACTCGCTGTGGTGACCTCTAAAGAAGGGGTCATTTTTTTTGCAAAGGCTATACGCTCCGTGACATACACAACCTACAACAATTTGGCTAAATTTTTTATTGTGGTAGCATGGTGTTCATTCAATATAGGAGTGCAAGAAGTAATTGCATGCAACATATACATAATTTTTTTAGCTCTGGCAGTAAGTACTTTGGTCATCAGTTAGTGAGTTGCTTTATAAACACAAGTTTGGCCATCTTCTCTCCTGAGAAATTTAAGTGTGTATGAAGTCCGTGTCGATGAGTTTACACACATAACAATCCTCAGCAATGGCCTGAGAGAATCAGCTGTTATGGCAATAAATCAGTGAAGCGCTATAAGGCCATTTCAAAACTATTTACAGTCGAGAAAGATTATTCACAAGAGAACGACCTTCGAGGTAGTTTCCAGTCTCACTAGGAGTGAAGGTTGCAGCAGTTTTACCTCAAGGGCTGTACAATCCTCAGAAAAATGTAAAATATCCCAGGAGCTGTCGGTATGGTAAATGTTAAAGTTTATGACCAGTAAAGAAAACAGCTGAACTCTTGTGACTCCACAAAACTTAGTACAGATGACAACAAAGCAGAGATGTTTACCCATAATGCACAGCACCATGTTTGGAGATAACCAAACACAACTTACTGTAACATAAACTAGGGCTGTTGCTATTGACTGTTTTTTTGTTTGTTTGTTTCAGTTAATTGACTAATTTAATCTAAACATTTAATATTCCTCCTAAAATTACATTTACAGTTTTACTTTCATTTCAAAATGTCAACTTTGGCGTTTACAGCTTACCACAAAAAAAGAAAAGAAAACAAAGACTTTTAAATTAAAATACAAAACATACAGCGGGTAAAATAAGTATTGAACACGTCACCATTTTTCTCAGTAAATATATTACTAGAGGTGCTAATGACATGAA